TGTTTAGTTGGGCAGAATTCTGCTTTAAAAATTGGGCAATTGTTTTAAGATTGACTTTAAACAATATTTCTGCAAGCCTGTATAGGAGATGTATTCTTTCTATTTTATACCTCTTGTTCATGTATCAATAAACTCATGACAATGTTGGGCAATTTTTATCCACCCGTTCGCCAACATTATTTTCAATGCTGGGCATTCCAGAAAACCTATAGACTATAGTACACAAATTTCCTGGAGAAGCATGAACACAATCCTGGTAAAAATCCATGAGTTTCTTTGTTGTTGTCTAATTGTGCTGGCACTAACATTGCCCCTCTCACTTTTGCTGTTTGTTTTGTAGTTTCTTATCAGAAAGATTAAACGACTCCTCCAAAGAAATTCCCAGTAAAACTTCATAAATGGACATTTGAAGAAGATAAAGCATTCACTGAATTCATATCTGTTGCGGCCAATCATGCAAATGATTACGATTGAAGAGGTTTACTAATTCTGTAATACCTCTAGATTGTTTTAATACATCATTAAGCTAGAGCAAAAGCATCACCTTTCATATACTTTATCATATACACGGCTAAAAACGCACAGGTTGTTCTAAGTTGATATCGACAGGCGTGAACAATGTTGTATAGCCAACTATGAACAAGTTGTCAACCATGTTGTTCCAAGTTGTTACAGTTGAACAATGCTGTAACAACATGTTGACAATACTGTTCATAGTGGGCCGCACAACCTTGTTCACGCCAGTCGATATCAACTTGCAACAAGTTGTTGATTTTCTCAATTTTTACGTGAAATGAATGTGTGCAATATTTTAAAAATATTGTGTGCATAAAATTTTATTTTTAAAAACATTTTAATTATCTTTAAGTACAGCAATATTATGTTAATATTTTTCCGATTTTAAAATAAATAAATTTTATCCACATCAATTATGTAGTGTGTGAACTTTTTATTAATTTGTGACGAACAAGGGAAGACTATACACTGAAAATTATGAAAACCATACATACCATAAACCTCTGAATATAAGCCCCCCCCCCGTATAAGCGCCCCTTGTGTAAGCCCATCAAAAATCGCTTACGAAAGAATATAAGCTTTAAGCTTTTTAAGCTTTTAGGTGGAGGTTTACAGTAGATCGTCAAAAAACTGCAGAACTGATAAAATGGTGTCCATGGGATACAATACTTATGGTATAATCAGGGAAGTGACAAAAGCACATGCAGTACAGGAAAACTGGGGTAGGGCCAAGACTGTACCATTAGAAGCTCCCCAGCTCTATCCTTACAAATAAAAGAAATATCAGTATAACACCAGACACCAATACACAATTTTTCAGCTTCTGCTAAAAATTTTCTTTCAATGTTTTTTAACCCATTGAGTATTTGAGTGTCAGCACTCTCCCCCTGATGAGTAAATAGTCTAGTGTTAGACAGCAAAGTAATTTGGCGTTAGGCAAAGTAAAATAATAGACAACTGGTTGATCATTTGAGCATAGATAACTGGTTGATCAGTATAAACCTTGCAATGCATCCCACAGTAGTCAATACATTTATATATAGTGTTGCGATAGTGTTGAATTTCCTCCATTTCATTCTTTACAACAAGGCTACCACTGGGTGCTTCTTCCATCATTTGGTGTGTATGAATGTTGCGATAGTGTTGAATTTCCTCCATTTCATTCTTTACAACAATGCTACCACTGGGTGCTTCTCCCATCATTTGGTTTGTATGAATGTCTGTCAGGCAAACAGGGTTTATTGGTAAATTAAAACAGTTATACAATCAGTTGGCTGATGTAATTATGTTGGTGGAAGTACACTATCCAGCTCATCATCTTGACTATCTGGGTCACATGGTGGGATTGCTTGGGACGTTGGTGATGTTGAAATGTCAAACTCCCACAACATAACATTGCTATATTCTTTGTTTATACCTCCTTCCCGTAGATCATTAGGGTCGAAGAACTACATGATATGAAATAAAAATACGTTTAATTAATAATACTGCTGTATTTATACAACATAGGAGCATTTTTATATTTCTATTTTTATTTTTATATAAAAAAGATCTCACCTTAAAAACACAACTAGAGTGAATTTGTACCAGTGGAGGACTACCGCAATCAGCGAACATTTCATCAATTTTTATCCCGTTAACCACAGCTGGACAAAGGACTATTCTTCGAACTATCCGTATTAAGAACTATAAACATGAACCTCATCGTCCTCGCGACATTCAAGTTCATCACACTGTAATTCTTCCGGAATCAAGATTAAAGGCTGTCTTGACACACAGTGAACACACAGAAGCTCGTGTCCACCCAAAAACGAAGCTTTCTTTCCATGCATAGTGCAAAAATCCACCATTTTACAATTTTTTTTCGATAAATCTTTTCTGAACCTTTTGAAACCTTGAGCTGTAAACACAGCGAAAGCCAACCGAACAATGACGGCGCACAGCGAGAAATCGATAATATGAAAAAAACGCGCCTGACCGCGTTGCATGCCGGTATAGTCCTCACTCCTCCTCTGGGGCAAACCTAGAGTTGGTGGGCACCACAGCTGTCCCCACCGACTAAAAAGAGTCGCAACTGCCGTTGCTATGGCAACAATGACGTTTGACTATGGCCGATTCTTTAGGTTTTAAGTTGTTTCACTTGAAACTAAGGTTGGTTACTCCAATTCTTTTGGTATTTTGAATCATCCATGACTTTTTTTAATTCTGTCGTGCAAATAAATTGATACGAATTGTTAAAGGAATACCGAATGGTTTTCCGTGCAGGATTGCGTGATCCGTGCACGAGGGATGTTGCGAGACTTTCGGAAAGCGTAAAAATACACGAGCCGTA